TTAGGGTTGTATAACGTTTACTAATAGGTAACCATCGTTTTGTAATTTAAGTCTTATTGGATGCTTTTATGCAGTGCCCATTGCTCATATCCCCTTTTTCTTTTTTGGAAAAAAGAGTCGGTTTTGTTACTTGTATTAATACCTTCCTCCATTGGTTGTTAAGATACCATGAAGATATACGTTGTAATGAATCGGGGTGTGCGAGAGACTTACCTCCACGTGGTGCACTCTGGGCAACATATACTCATACGGCAAAAAAGTCTATTTACCGGCAGTTGACTTCTGACTTTAAACTACCATGACCCCACTATCTTTGAAACACTCTTCTGTCCTCCTCCTCTCGATTTTTTGTCACTGATGTTCCTCCTCTCTATGAAGCCCAATGCCAGCTAAAGGGCTAATGATAACTATCAAAACGCCTGCCATTTGATATAAATAAATAAATAAATGTTGTAATGAATCCCTAAGTTTCCTCTCAGAAATTAGTTCGTATTTCTTTTCATGCTGGTTTCTACTGCTTTAATAGCCTCAAATGTGATTTTACTTTTTATATTATTTATTCTTTTTTGCTAGCTCATTTTTTTTGTTTATTCACTAATTAGCTTTCGATGCGTTCCGTTCACGTGGTTTGGTCAGTGCATTACCTACCGCCTGTGCGACAATGGCAAGTGCCGTGGAGAAGGGCGCGGGAATCGGTAAAAAGACGGGGACTCTATCACGACCCTCACCCAGTTTCGATAACGCCTGGCTTTGCCCAAATCTCGTCACCCCTCAGTCGAAATCCAACTCAAAATCCTCACCCACTTCCGGCGGTGATGGTGCAAAAGACGAGACAACCACCTTGGCAGATCTGCATTTTACTGGCCTCTATGCAGTTGCTAATCCCTTTCGACATCCACTCATCCCTTCTACGGACTTTTCTGAAGACTCTGGACGACCTAGTGATCATTGCCCTGTCTACTTTGATCTCGAACTTCGTGATACTCTTAATTAATTTCTTATCTCCCTCCTTCGTCATTCAGAAATCTAAATATATATGTATCTACTTATTTATTTACTTGATTGACTTTACCGTTTAAAAAATGAATATTATTTAGCAATATATATATACAGGTTGCCTTAGACAGTGACAAAATGGTCACAACATAATGATCACGCTACAATCCAACTGGCACAATATGAAGAAGAGGTCTTGGAACTTGGAATTTCATTTTAAAATGTCGAAATCCTAGCTGAGGCCTCATTGCATAATCAGATCATGCTATCAGGACACGTCGGAAATGCTGCAACAACGCGGATTCCCTCTCCGCTATGAGTAAGTAGCAGCAGCAGGTGAGATTGCGCTGCCTTGCTCTGGCCCCGATGGGAGAAGTGACATGAGTAGGCACATTTTTCCCCGAGATTTTAAAGGAGTGCTTAGGTCAAATGTACATCAGTGTAGAGATTACTTATCTGTCCTTGGGCTTAGTAACCAAAGAACCTGTAATTCATTGTATCGCGAGATGAGCCATTGCAACTGCGTTCGGGTGGATCGGCTTAATTGATTTAAGCCTTTTGATTTGATAATTTTTTAAAATAGGATTAACTGAACTTGTTTATAATTTACCCAGCAAGTCCCTTTAAATATTGTATTTATTTATGTCAAATGGCAGGCGTTTTGTTAGTTATCATTAGTCCTTTAATTGACTTCAGGCTTCACAGAAGGGAGGAGGAACATCAAAGTGAAAAAAAGTCGAGAGAGGGGGGGGGGGTAACAGAATGGCGTTTCAAAGACGTAAAAGTGACAGACAATTGTAGAAAATAAGCGAAGTGAGTACTGAGGAAGAAGTCGAATATGACACAAGGGGATGATGGTAGTTTGAAGTCAGAAGTCCACTGCCGATTTATAGACTTTTGCCGTATGAGTATACGGTGCCCAAGGTGCACTACGTGGAGGTAAGTCGATCGCACACCTCCCCCTATTGTATAGTTTATT